GGAAGCAGCCCTGAATCTGAGACTTCAGCACTGTGGAATTCTCAAATTTTTAATTCCTGAATAAGGAAGCCCTCCACAGCAGTGCCTTCAACAGTCACCAGACAATGATAAAGATATTGCCGGACAAACACTTGAAGTTGGGACAATGTTTTCAGGTGCAGAGGAGCAACTTAAAGTGACTGTAAACAACTATACACAATATGCTCTCTGTCCCTGTCTAGACTTCGGACTTAGCAAAGTTTCAAGTCTAGGGTTTCAACTTAGAACATGAAACTTCATTTCCTGCTGTTTCTGACCTAGCCGGAGACACTGCATTAGAAATATCCTGAGATAAATAATTCTTCGACTCCAATTCAGTCATTATAAGTCTAGAAAGGTTGTATTTATAAAAACAGGTTTAACTTCAATGCAGAGGCATTTATTTTCCTGGCACTTCTATAGAACTCAACATACTGCGTTGATAGCATTTGCAAAGATAATACAAAGCCTTCACCCTCTCCTTCCTACCATAAGGTACCACTGCCATAAAGCTAACACCTTATGTGGACTGAACCACTAATAGGAAAGGGGGCATAACAGCTCCTAGTGAAATGTAATGATGGAAAAGGCTAACAAAAATAAATGCTACAGGTGGTAGTATAAAAGAGGAATGAATGCAACCACTGTGACATTATAACTGAACTAAAACAAATATGCATTGAATTGGCATGGAGCCATTCTCAACATTCACTTATTTCCCCTTCAGATGTAGTAAGAAGGAATTTTTAAAGAAAATCAGATTCCACTAGGCCAATTACTTGAAACATGTGGATGCTGTCTAAAGAATTCAGCTAAATGGGATGTTTTGGTTATTCCCTGATTCTAATTTAGACCTCAGCTAGGCAGAAAACAATGCCCTACAAGCGGTTCCTATTTATAGGAAATAAATCTGTTCCCAAAATCTGCATCTTTTTAGGGTGGCATGACCAACATGCACCAAAATACTGCAACACTTGCACTTGCAGCATTAGCTGCATTTCTGAAGGAGAAAGCCTCCTGGAAAAGGCAGCTTCAAAACCTGGGCAGAGCTCCATAGGACATCTGCTGAGTCAAAGCATGTTTGATTTGCTGTTTCTGCTAGCAGCCAGATTTTCAGCACACATCCACTCTCCCTGAATTAAAACAGAAACTGTTGCTCCTTGTGAACTTCTGAAAATCTGTATCTATAAAGGAGAATACTGTTCAGTGCTGTGACTACTGCCACTGCCATTTTCTTCAGAGGAAACGCATTCAGAGACTTACAGAATACTGTTCAGTGCTGTGACTACTGCCACTGCCATTTTCTTCAGAGGAAACACATTCAGAGACTTACCTGAAATTGAAGAGAACTCTTCAATTATTTTATCAAAGTTTTTAAACATTTAGACTAACTGCTGATAAAGTCTATAAATGATACAAAAAATGCCCAAATGGTAAAAAATTATTAAGGACCTGTCAATTTTGTAGGTCAGTCTGAACTTGTCTGCCAAGCTAGGCTCGTTTAAACAGCATCTGTTGTAGTACATGTGAAACCATATAGGGAACATAGCTATTCAGAGAACACAGGTTAGTTAGTTGAAGATACCCTAGAAGGCAGCAGTTCTGAAGTGACTCAACAATTACAGGACATTAGTTCCAGCAGTGTATTCTCCATATCCTCTGGATGAGACTGAAGGCAATAAATCACTGGGTGTACATACAGCAGAACTATCAGAAGTACCAACTCAAGATTTCTCATGCCAAAAATTTTTGAATCTCAAAAAAAATCTCTATTTAGGTTACAACTTTTATTGGTACTGTCATTTGCAATCTTTAAGGCTTTTTATTTTCATTAGGGAAGGTAAGATATGAATGTTTCCTGAAGTGTCTGCAGTATGGTTGAAATTTATTGGACTTACAAGTCATTTAGCTAAGCTTTTAGAGAAAACCGTTTCTCAGTCTCACAGAGTGGTGGAAAAATGCTTGGCTACTATACTGTTGCATATATTGGTGCTAATAGTTTTAGATAAAATTACAGATACAGATTTTTTTTTTTTAATATAAAATGTTAATAGTCAAATTAGATATAGAATTTCTCACAGCTGAATAAATGCCTGCTGACCCAGACATGGCATCTAGAAATACGATTATCCATCTGTTGTTATAAAGGAGAAATGTCAGCCAGACTTCAGACTGAAAAAAATGCCTTTCAATATGAGTACAACCACTTTGAATTAACTGCTTTTAAAGAACCATGCCAACACACATTTTAAACCAAACTCCTTTATCCAAATCTAAAAGGCACCTGTAGATTCATTGTCCTGACTGCAGTGCAGTTTTTAGATCAAGCCTTGAAGCTGATGTGATTTGAGCTTGGATTTGGCCTATTGTGTATGTATATGAAATGGCACCACTGCCTTCAGAGGCACATTTATCACAGCAAAAAGCATTTTAAGCCCCAGAGAGCCTTAAAAGCTTCCGCTCCCTCCCCCCATATCTTTCACAAATGCACAGACACATGCACATAGCCATGCTTGCTTTTCTGCAGCATTGGTAATTGCGAGTTTTCTTTAACTTCTCTTACATTCAGAAGCAAACTGTAGTTTTGTAATTACTATCAAAATTGGAGCATGGGCTAATCAAAATCAATTATCAGCTGTGAGATGGGAGGAATAAAACAGAGGAAGAACAGCAGGGCAGCAACTGGGCTCATGAAATTAAAAATAAAAATAACAAGCAAATCTATGTTTCATCCTGACAAGTGAGGCACTCTGCCTCTCTGTCATCCCTTTCATCATGCAGATGACTGCTCAGTAGCTTTCAGCACATAATAATGCAATCCCTCCTGTCCACCAAATTTCTATTGTAGCTGCCAACTGTTTGTACAGCTTCTAGATAAAAATGATGGAAAAATCATATTTCACAAACCTATTTAAGAACTTCATAGCTTTAAAATATTTTCTTGTTTCATTTTAAAGGGACTTTTTTTTTTTTTTTAATTAGTATGAAGCCTAGTTACTTTTCACCAGGAGACAAAGAGTGCCAATCATACCAGATCTAGGAGGCTGGAAAACAAACAGGTGGGAAAATTATTATAATAAGTACTCATATTTACACTTGCTATAAAGAAACCTTTGTGTCAGAGGAAGCTAGATAATACATGGCATGCCATCTGGTTTGCCAGAGATGGGGCAATAAGATTTGCAGATTACAGCTGGTCCTAGACAGTCATTATCACCCAGTTAACCCAGCACTTGAACAGAATCAGCCCATGGACAAAAAACAGCAGAGGCAAAGCAAGAAAGTTCTTCATCTGCCAGGCCCAGGAAGCAGTGATGCGGACAGCCACAACTGCAGGTTCAGATGCGAGGTTGGGTGTAGTCCTTGATTCCCTGCTTTTGCTAAACTTTCACAGCAGCATCTATGAATAACACTTTCAGCTACCTCCTGTTAGGTAGGAGATTCTGTCTCATGCTGTTGAACAGAGCAGTACTCACAAATGTGTAACACAAGCACTCAGCATGATACCTCCAGCTTGTACAAAATGGGCAGGACATCCCTTCGGCATAACAAGTCACAGTGAACAAATGTGTCTTCATCTGAGTATCAAGCAGGAGACTCCTCTCAGATACATTCAATTGTCTAAAAGATAGTTGTCTGGTCTCTACTAGTCATATAAGCTTATTGATTCTCTAGTAAATGGAAAGAGATGCTCATAAGAGCCATTCAGTGTAGAGTCATACAGATAACTGATGGAGAGGAGAAGGTGGGACACACTCTGCAGTTGCCCCTTTCCCCTGGAGGAGTGTGAATGACTACTTCCCTAGCGCTTACACAGGAAATGTTTGGCAACCCAAGATTCCATTTCTTGTAGAGCAGTATCGAACTAAGGTTCTCGGTTCTTATTTTCAGTGTGCTGAATGACCAGGCTTAGCATATACAGACCAAGAAAAACTCCAGGTGTAGAGAGGGAAGGTGCTCCATGGGTTCAGTGACACTTCCTACCACAATAATAAGTAGAACAGTATAAAAGAGAGAAAGTTTTTTCTCGGAGAGTCTGAGGCTGGGCAACAATTCCTGTTAGAAACAGGCATCACAGCATCACTGCCTTTTACTTTAGGTGTGAAACATGTTTCTGACCTTGCCTGTCCTGAAAGAAGTACACAGTAGTGCATCTCTTAAAATAAATTCAAAAAAACCCAAAGAAACATACTGAACAAATCATACAAACTCTGAACAAAATCCTCTCTCAAACACAGTTCTCCCATGGGAACAGCATGCCAGAGGGCATGTGGAGCACACGTGACAAATGCTCTTCATATCACTCCAGAGCACTGCTAGGAGGCTCTGAGATATTAAAAGAACTTGTAAAGGAAGAGATCACTGAGATTAGCTCTAGCTTTCCTTTTGGGTCAGCTTTACTTGAAAAAAAAGCCTTTTATTGTTTGGATCCTGTCTGACCCATGACTGATTAAAATGATACACTTTTATGGAGACATCCTGACATTCACATAATACAAGGTAGTATAAGAATCAGCCATTTTAGGTTCTGCTATTCTGATGACGTTTGCTCATCATTTTTACACTTGAGGCACAAGACTGATAGCATAATGTATATGTACAGCTACGGTTAAAAGCAACATGATGAAAAATTAAATTAAAAGACAACCCCCACACATGGTATCTCATTTTTTTCCATGAAATATGGGAACACTTTCTGGTATATTAGCAGTTACTCTCCACACTAGCAGGTTGCTGTTTTTAGTAGTATGAATAATGCACACGAAATCACAGAAAACACAATGGTTACCATGAATTATATGCAACACGTTTTAAAGCATTCATTGTCTTTCCAGAAAAAAAACCCACCGTATCTTTGGGTGTAGGAATCTTGGGCACTGTATTTGGATATAAGTTTTCCAAAATAATTTACACTGTCACAGCAGGTGAGTGATATCAAATATTCTCTATGCTATTCAATATGAATTCCAAGTTTTACTTACCAATCCTGCACAGCATTGAAAGATTCTTCATTTGTGATGTCATACATTAAAATGAAGCCCATTGCACCCCGGTAGTAAGCTGTGGTAATTGTTCTGTATCTCTCCTGACCTGCTGTGTCCTGAAATAATAACAAACAAAATTTTTACATGTTGCAGATAAATTGACAAATTATATCTTTTTTAATAAAAAGAAAACTCTGACAACAGTTATTATACAACTCTGCAATCCTACTCAAAACTAATCAAGGGGGAGAAAACTGAGAATAACAGGAAAAAGGAGAATTCTGCATTGGATCATAATAGGAGGGACACATCCACTCTGTCATGAGGCGAGAATGGAGAGAAGCAGAACAGCATGGCCCTCTGTCAGTTCATATATCCTGAGTCATTCACTGATTCATGTCATTCCACTTGAGAGTCGGGTAAGAACCTTGTCTCGTGCTCCTGCCTTGTACCTTCCCAGTTTGACAGAAGGGACAGGTAAAATCTCATGTCCTGGATAACATGCTGGGACAAAATAGCATCCTTAAAATCTTCATTACAAGATCAGGATGGTTCCTGAAGTCCGGAAACATCCTAATCAAAAAGGCAATGTCTAATTGTTCTGTTCTTGTGATTTAAGCCATTGGTGCTTACGTCAGCTTTAGAACCAATACAGTTCTGTACTGACACAATAAAAGCTGGACGGCAGTGCTTTTAAAATAAGGATGATATCTAACAAAAAAAAAAAAATAAAATTTGCTAGCAATGCCTTACCTCAAACCAGTTTTCTCCCTCATTCTCTGTATCTCATTCAATTGCCTTTAAAGTAAGAAATGTAAGTCTTCCTTTCTCCTACTGCTTGCTTTACTGACTTCCATTAAAAAATTTTCAGGGCAGGGGCTACCTGTTACTACATTTATAAGCAATATCTAGCATAACCACCCATGTCTGTACCAAGATTGTGAGACAACAGCAATAATTAAAATACAGGAAATGCATAACTATTTCCTGTTCCAACACACCTATTTAACATTTTTAAACCATGAACATTAAAAGCGTTAGATGAGACATATGTAACATTCAGTGCAATCCTGTAACTGTCTAACAGATCATCCGCGTGTATTCAATTTTAACAAACTTCGAAACTAAATTTCATTATTTCAGATTTTTTGAGCGATGAGAAATAGTTTACTTTACAATACAGACAAAATTATTTAATTTGCCTTACTACAGAGAGAGAATAATAACCAGTGATAAACAATGTTTTATTTGGTGTGTTTTCTGAAATTGTTCCTGGGCTAGTAGTACTGCCTTGTGAACAAGAGAAAAATAATTAAGTGGGCCTCCTTCTTTACGCATATATCACTCATCTCGTAAAGTAATAAAGTAAAAAAAGGAGATTCTATATACATCAGAAACCACTTATAGAATAAGAAACATAACCAAGACAGTTACTGAAACCAAACAAGGTCTTAGGTAAAATACACGGATTTTGTTCATTCTGGATTACAGCCGCTACTGCTTTGATGTAGTTTCAGTGATCCAAGATGGAAAGCTAATGTAGACGCTAGACTACAACAGGTCTCACAGGAGGTTAGGTTATGTCTTTGCAGGAAAGGCCAGACAGGCCTAAACTTTTTCTTCTTATACTCTAAGCTGGCTAAGCCTATACCAACTGAGGTCTGGAGGTTGGATAACTGCATTAACACAACTGCTCCCAAATTTTCTGGTGGTATTACTGAATATTAAGGAATTAAGAGTCTTGCACTAAGCGTGTGCATATTCTAATACTTAGAGGTCAATTCTTTCTCAGTAGGTAGGTCATAGTCTGTCAATAAGACGAAAGTATCATTGAAATGTTGAGTAAAATAATTTATTATCAGAATAATCACCTGTCATTATTTAAAACCATTTCTTTGTATTTCTTTTATGGAATAAGGTTTACTCTCACATTTTACTGGCTTCATTTATTTGATTTGATATTGAAGAAAAGAGCTCAGAGGGACAGAAGGAAAATATGGCCCATAGCAAGCACACAGCCTTTCTCTACATAAGAGATATGATTTTCAAACAAGTTTTGTCAGTGTCTATCTGCTTGTTTGTCAGAGACATGTATGGTTGGAAATACGATGGTATGACAAGCAGGGACCCACTGCTATGGAAGCAAATCTTATTTTGCTGTGGGTGATTTCCACTGAAGCCTGTCTGCAGATAAGAGTGAAGAGCCCTAGCAACAAAGCCATAAGTCAGTGAGGCTTTCTATCCAAGACACCAACTATTTTCTGTGCAGTGTTAAAGGTAGCTAGTGCGGGCTTAGCAGTCTTGATTACGGAGAATAAAAAATGAGTGGAAAGGAAGACAAATCACGATAAAAGTTCTTAAATAATTTTACACAAAGGGAAATGAAGCTGCTGCTGAAGATCCAAACACTGACTCATCTTGGGATAGGTGATGCTCTTCTGGACCTTGGCATTTGATTTGGGTCAGTCTGGGAAGGAACCAGATATCTGGGGTTGTTCTCAATACAGGCATCTAATATGTGCCTGTAGCTAATGCTATGTTAATGTGATGATAAAAAAGAAGATTTTCTCAAGTGGTATTTCAGTATATGGCATAGATGGATGACCATGAATAAAGTGGAGTTTATTAGTTTCAAACATTGATAATCCCATTCCTGTTGGTATTGTTTTCTATTCACTTGCTATAAGGAAGCAACTAAAAATTTAGTTGGCCTAATGTACAAATTATGCAGTAGAGTGTTTATGATCGTGTAAGAAATGAACCCAAATATCAGTAATCAATGTTGTCAAAACTTTTGTGTTCCACACATTCATAAGCGTCTCCTTTGTATTCTCACTGGAATATATTCATAAATGCCCTAAAGACAGCTTTTTTGTATGACCGTTAAGGAACTCAAATACCATTTGTCAGGAGAAATAGCACATCAGAAACATCAAATACTTTAGTATTAAATATTATATTTTATTACAATGATTTAATTTATTTGAAACAGATAATGCAATGGTGAAACTGGCCCTTCTCTCTGTTTGTTAGCTTTTATTCTTATGG